GCCTGATGAGCATGTTACAATTAAAAAAATTCAACACAACAAACAACTCTGGACCAGACCAGAGAAGCTTTACTAAAATATACAGTGTCAACTAAAAATAAATGACAACACTGTGATTCTGATGCCTCTGACAACCCCTCCCCTCCCCTTCCCTGACTAGTTTTGAAAACACACCCTTAATTTTAATTATTTCTGCTTCATAAAAGTTCTTGTCCACTGACCAGAAAGTCTGTATGGTTTCCCCTTCTTCCCCTTCTTCTCTTCATGATCTTCAGGATCAAGGTGCTTCACATCGCTTTCATTAAGTACCCTAAATGTATCTGGCTGGTCCTTGAACTGCACAAGAAACCAGCTTTCTACATGAAAAGATAAAGCATGGTCAGATTTAAAACTCTCATACTAGGTTACATGTATGTTTTTCATTACAAGCAGAAAGGCGCAACCCGGACTTTAATGCACACTGAGCTACATTCAGATTTTGTTTTATCTCAGTGTTAATTCAGAACAAAGTGATATGAATAAAAAATAATGAAAGTGATAAAAGCCTTAGAATACCGAAATTTGTGTTGTTTTTATTCTATATAATATTTGTGACCCAGCAGCAAACACAAACTGCCAGGCCGTTCACTCACAATTTGCTGGTTTTCTGTCCTAATAATTAAGCTTTCATCAGACCGTGACTCTTACTTATGATTGCTAGTAAATTAATTAACAGCACAAAGTTTAAAGAGATTTAACAAAACCTTTTGTTAGTCAGCTTTTACCAAGATACACCCTTAAAAGCTTTATTTTTTTTTGACTTTCAAACATACACGTTAAGATCCAAAACTTTCCCAAACTAAATTATGGATTCCAATTTCCTTTTTTCTCTCGACTTGAGCAACTTTTTTAAACCTTAACTTGCATTTTACACACTTTACCTCTGGCAAATGTAAAATTTATTTCAACAAGAAACACTTGGAATTTAATAAATAGTAGAAGGGCTAACTCATTTTTTTGATAAGCTCAGTGTCATTAGAAGCAAGTTGAATATGTGCTACATAACACCATCAGCATTTCAAATAATAAACTCTTCCCTGTTTAAAAACTCACGATGAAGCTGAGAATGTGGCTGTTTATCAAGTTTCCCAAGAATCAGTTCACCTTGTATTAAACTCATACTGTACTTGAACTTTACATTTCACGAATTGCCAAAGATGTTGCAACACCTTCTTTTCCTTGGTTACCATCGGTTACTGAGCTAAACCATGCCTGATGAAGCATTCAACTGTTGAAAAACCTGGGTTGGCTTTCTTTTGATTTTGCTGCCATTTACTGAGGTTTACTACTGCATTTACAAAATTAAAAATTTCACTTCATTAAAGTTAAAATAAAACCTAGGTAAATATCTGCCTTTAACAATGAACAGCTGTAGTGACCATCTGTTTTGACTAGGTTGTGTGTTCAAGACTATAAACGTCCCTTAATTATATCCAAGCAGAATTATTTACAGACAAAGAGAAGCCTAACAAAATAATGAGAAAAATTGGAAAATTAAACGAGACTTACCTGGAAGTTGAAGTTTGATTGAAATTCTACCGAGTTACATAATGCCAGGGG